CTATTATTTTTCTCTGCACTTTGCATCAAAAATTTTCCCTCTAAATCGTCTACTAAACGGTACTGCAATCAAAGGGCGAATCTCATAATTTTCATGCGCGCACTCCATTCATAGTGGCGAGTCTTTAGCAAATCGAGGTTAACTGCCACCAATTTTCCACTTACTGATCTCATCGTACGAACAACTTTTCCTGGTTTCCCTAACATCCTCCTCATGCTTGCATAGCTTCACAACCAAAGCAGTAGAAAAAGCCACCCTCATTACTATACATATATTTGGCGCATATCTTATAGGATCACAAAGACAATTTGCAATTCTAAGCGCTAGGATTTCCTTAGCTCAATCTCTTTCCTTTTGTTTCTCACGCCCACCATTTTTCTGCAAATCCGATATCTTCGCTGATCTCGTTGAACGCTTTTGCCCCGACAGGTCATTTATCAGAAAAAATGTCGGCGGCATGGCAGTGCCAGTGCAAAGCAGCCCAGCAGGTACCTGTGAGCTTTCTTCTCTTGAAACCATTTTAACTTGGAAATATCTGTTACCTTCCAAATTTCCTAATTTTGAAAACATTTGCATTGTGGTTAAAAGGCTAAACAAAAAATCCAAAGTCGATTCTTCTTAAACTCGTAGCAAAATGATTCCTCAATTTCCTTGCGTTTTCTTCTCATCTCAACTTTTACACAACTGCGCTATTTGCTTCGCCCATTTACCACGCAGCCGCTGTTCTGTATAATAGCTGCAAGCCTCTAAAAGGAATATCTCAGAGTGTAATGTACTTGAAAACAGACATCTTTGTCTTCTTTCTCCTGCTTGGAAAATTTTCCTCTTCTGCGCAGCATACAACCAAGATCGTTTCAAACTTCAGCGATCCATTCTCCTCTGCCACGCTTCTCCTGGGAATCTTTGAAGCAATCATCGCTCAGCAGCCTAAAGCGATTTGTCAGCCGTTCCGCTTTCGCCACATGCTGACTGATGATAGCCAAGCCCTTTTGAAGTGCTGCTCATGGGAATTTGGTGGAACTCGAGACTAGGTCCATTCTCCGGCTCTATCCATTCTTCATCCTCTTTGCAGCTTATTGGATCAAGGAAGAGCTCCATACGGTAGGCACCCATAGAGCCCTTCCTTGATTTCTTACTTTTTGAACACTGTCTTTCAAGCAACTATCTTTGGCCCACTTCCACAATTCCAGAGTTTATGTAGAGCAGTTGAAAATCACTGTGTTCTTTTCGAAAACCGCTTTTTGTTGACTACAACAGCGCTTATGGCTGTTTGCCTCACACCGAGCTCCTGCATTCTTCCAAAAACTCGCTTTCGATATCAACCTATAGCTTCCAAAAGCAGTTTGATAAAATCTTCCTCCCCCCCCCGCACTTCCTCCCCAACTATTTGGATTTTGAGAGCCCATGGTCCCCACAGTCACACAGTCACAGAATTCTGGGGAAGAGCGGGCTAGAAATTTGTACTCAAAAGGCAGCCACGCTAGCCTGTTCTCAGAAATCCTTCGGGAAGTTTTCAGAGTTGCGAGCTTGTAGCTCATATCTGTGAAAAAGAAAAAGATCGGTTTTTTGTGAAGGTTCCCTATCACTTGGTTCTTGACAAATATAAAGCCACTTTAATCACGAAAACAAGTTAATTGCAGAATTCTATAACTCAGTAAACCATTTGCTAAAATCTCTGAACCATTTTATGTGTTTAGTATGGGTTCCGATCTTTCTCGTGGCTCTTTCTCTACATTTGTCAGAGTTTGCGTTTTTTTTTAAATTTTGAACAGCTGTATCAATTTTTTTTGCATAGCAAATTTTTATTGCCAGTGGTGGACTTGGAAAGTGCGCAAAAACTGAGCCAGGCAATGAAAGCAAAACTAAAAGTGCAAGCGCCGGTGCTTGAAGATGTGCTTAGCCAGTCAGCAGCGTTTATTTATCATCCACTCAGTGAAGAGAGCCATACTTCACGCTCATTACAATATCATCGCTTTTTCTCCAGGAGCGTTTGCGACCGGATACGATTTTTGTTGGCGCACCAGAATGAAAGACTTTGCTTACTAATCTTTTATGCTCATTTTCCTCGCTTCCCTTTTCAATTTTGTGTAAATTTCTTACCTGTTTTTTTTTGCTTGAAGGTCTGGCTCCTTCAGCATGATTCCTGCTATTGTTTATTCATAATGCCTCAAAGGTGAACGCTTAATTTTTTTTGAACATTCTCAATCTCTTATCGCTAACTAAAACTGACTGCTTATTGAGATTTCGCATCGTTTTCATATACATATGTATGTGTGCTCTGCTGTATTCTCAGCCTTAAATTTTTGTGAAGTGACCGCCACGCTTATACCGTTTTTAGCCAAATCCCAAATGCTTGCTAAGTCTTCTGATAAGCTAATGCGCTCAAAAGTTGATTGCTATGATTATTCAAACATTGACCATAGTTCTCTTCCGAAAACTGTAGTTTCATAAAGCACTTCTATTTCTTTCAATTATAACTTTTGTTTGCAAAATTGCGACTTTATCAGGTATCCTTCCCATCGTTCAAAGGCAGAATTTCCAGATTTTCGCCTTTTATGTTTCGTCATCGTGGGGCCCTTCCGTGGCCCTGAGTACAATATGAAGTGCAAAATCTGCAAAATCCCCCAAAAACCCGATTTGGCACCTCTGTCCTGGGTGTATGTCAATAGGCGCGATCATTATTACCAGATGTATACCAATTAGTGCCTTTTCAGTCTTTCATGTCTTTCCAGGAGTAATTCAAATCTCATTAAGGTAAGTACGTACGTCCCATGGGCTGCTGGATTATATTGTTCTGAACAAATTCAAAACGTAAGTGCGGGGGGTCAAAAACCCATGAAAATGCAACAAATTGCGTTTTCGAAAATTCAACTAATTGCGTTTCTACTCGATCTTTCACCAAACTCCGTCAAACTTAGTAAATGGTAGCTCCAGATACTGAGAGGCCAAAGCACTTTGTGTATTCTTGAATGACTCTCTTAGCTCTGGATTGGGCTCTCAAATTGGTAGCTTCTGGAGAAATCGCGCCTCTTGACCGTCTCTCCCCTATCCTGAAGTCACAGGTGACCCTAGTACTTGGGGCGGGCGGAGCTTGATCAGAGGCAGCACTAGAGGACCGGACCAACGCAGATGTCCTAACCCTGAAGCCTTCTCAAACTAGGTACCTAGGTACTAATTGGGTGAGCACAGTTTCTATCCGAACGCTGCTTTTAAGGCTGACGAACTCTAACTGCTCAAAAACCGATTCGCAGTCCTCAAACATCTCATCCATCTGGATGTCAACAAAACTGAACTTTATGGGAGTTTTTATAAAATTTCCAAGGTAGGGCTGTCTGTACTATCTCCAGTGAATCAGCCTATAATCGGACTTTGAGCCCTTTCGAGTACAAAGCAAACCACCTTGAAGCTGGTTTCCATAGCGTAAGATCTTATCGCTCACAGTTTTGCCGTTGAAGCGGCATTCAGCGTTGTCAATATCGTGAGTTGCGCAACTAAAGAACAAATTACTCTGACGTTAAGGTCGTTTGCATTTTCTTGAGCAAGCACTCCTTGGCCTCTACAGTAGTTCTCAAGAGTTTAAAATAGCTAATTTACATTATCTTGGCTATTTATTTATTAGCATCCGTGCCAAAGTTTTCTTACTAAAACGTTTAGAATCGCAATCACTGCTATTTACTTCTTAAAGTAGAGTTGATTTACCATTTTTGATTAACTTGATGATCATGATAAACTTCTTGCAGTTGATGTCTTCTTTAGTCTTGTATTTCACAATTAACTGCAGCAACTTGCTGGCTCAATGCACATTTTACAGAACTGAGCGTATAAGTCTGAAATTTTTTTTTGGAGATTACTAATCCTTGTTTTCGAATGGATTTTTAGACATTCAACCTCGTTTTTCCAGCTCCTTGGACTCTTTCTGTATCGCACCGTTTTTATTAGGGCATTTAAGCTAGCTGGGGAAAGAGGATTTACCGTCGCTATTATCTTCCACGACCTTGCTTCGCATTAAGGTGAATTCGAATTCGATTTACAGCCACAAAAATATTTTATTGTTGGCAATATTCTGAAAATCATATTACTTTGCCTCTATTTACATAAACTAATTAATTTATCTGCATTACGTCTAAATGGGCTGAACAAGACATAAGAAAAATGAAAGGTTCCCACAGACCTATATTTCGACCTATATAGACCTATATATTTTCTCCCAACATTTATATTAGATAGAACTTTGGCAGAACTACACTGCATCGCTAAAGAGTTTTTACAGAATTTTTTCTTGTCACCTCAAGATTTTTGATGACCGGAACAGCATCTTCGGTTTACTCCATAGATATTGTATTTGCATGGCTCATAAATACATCAGACCTTTTCTGAAGTTTGGGTGCGGTAGACAGGTTGTGGGTTTATAAGGTGGACCACATGCGGTACTGAGGCTAATAGTGCCCCTAAAAGATAGGATGGTCCGCTTAATACCCTGTAAAAGATCATTAGCCGACGCGTGCGCTACCTTATCAGTTTGTTTATTGTTGACAGTTGCAGAGCTTAGTGACCTTAGCGTGTGCTTCTTGTACTTCGTTCCCCCCCCCCCTCCTCTCTCCAGTTATTCCACATCCATATAGCTCAACTCCATTTGCGTGTGGTAGATATCGTGAAAGGTTTTGGGCGTAGTTCAGATTTTGTAACTCAATTTTCTAAATTTACTTCTGGTCAATGTAAGATATGCCGATTCGCCTCAACGCCAGCCATTTCTCCTATGAATAAGACCCTCTTATCTCGCTCGTCTTTGCAACCATTTATAATCTTTCTGTTCACCTTTGATCTCCCCAAAAATTATTCGCTGAATTGAGCTTTTCTTTTTTGCGTGCATCCATAATTAGGAAGGCTGGAGGACGGAAGCTGTCGGCTCCGCCCCAAGCTCTTCCACCATTGACGCTTTCGTTATTATGCTCTGTTATAGTAACAGATAAATGGCATTATATTGATAGCATGTGTTATAGATGTTGAGATTTTTGCTTCTTCTACCTATCGTTATGGCGAACTCATTTTGGATGACCGCCGATTTGCTGAGAGTGGACTGGAGTGAAGGGTGTCTAACTACCGCCGGCTGTTCCCATCCCAGATTTGAGGTAAATTCCTAAAATATTTGTACCTTGATTTTTATATGTGGCTGATGCATTCAAAAAAGACATCTTTCAGATCCTTGGAGATTTGCTCCCACTTACTGAGGAAATCTCTATCAGCTGGCCTATTTCCGAGCATTTTGTCCAGGTAAATTCGTTCACAAAATTTATTGTGTGCCTCTTTTCTCCAAATTTTTTCACACCAGTTGAAACCGAAATTGAAAACACTTTCTACAAACGGTCAGCGCATAAACGTTGAGAGGCGAGAAGTCTTATTGTTGGCCAATAAAATGTTACAGTCCCGGTCCACCAGCAGAACTTACAAACCGTACAATTTTTTGAGTGTACCAGTTACTCTTGACATAATATACATTTTTCCTTATGATTGCACTATCATTTGTAATTTATCGTTAAGGATACCTCGCGCTCTTTCGTATCCCATTGGGCAAAAGGTAAGCCGGAAGATCTGAAGCTTAGGTGCCAGGTGGTTGGCACCGATCCGCTCTATGGATTTCCGCGAGTCTGTGACCATACCGCGTCAGTCCGCCCCTTTCCGGACGGAACCGTCGAAGTATTGGTGAGTGACTCTGTGACAATGTGACTCTCATAATGAGCTGGTCCTCTGTCTCACACGCAGACTTACATAATGGAGTGTCTATGAACGAACTTAGCTCTTTTGTAGGAAAGAAGGCGACGTCAAGCGATGGTCACGACCACTTCATTGCCAGAAGACGAACTGGGCAAGAGGCTAATTGAAATCCGGGCCAGGTGTTTTAACGCCACCGTAGCGGTGGAGAAGCACACAGAGAGATGTCCATGGTGCCCAGACCCATCGGATGTGGCGCTCATCGAGCAAAGGGTTAGTCAGTAAACTTCGATCTTCTTCTAGAATAGCATTAACGCTATAGAAAAATGGTAGCTACTTCTACGAAATATTTACATATATCTTGTACATGGCATCCATATGTCTTTATAACAACAAAGTCCAGCCTTTATTCGACATTTCTTTGGCAAAGACAGCTACAGTACTCACAGCACATGCATAGGTGACAGTAACTTCTCTTGTTGTCCATCAACTATTGAACCCATAAGCCGACATTACTACTGCCGAATAACTGTCTTTTAGCTATTAATGATTCTGTTTATTACATAACCCGTTATTGAACTTGTCATTGTTCTGTTCTTTAGCTGCCGGAAGATTTACCGTCTGCATCAACTTCGATTTTTTCTCGATTAAAAAGTGACGACAAGATTTTGCAAGCCTCCGTGCTGACACTGGCAGGAATCTCTATTCTGACGTCGATAAGTCTTGCTTGTGCACTTGTTGCTCTTCTTCGACAAAAAAGGTTATTGATTTTTGGCTCAGGATCAACTTTCTTTTCCAGGGTTGTACACTATAATCGTTTAGGTCTCATCGCGAGATCACCGTAAGGACTCGCTGTCAACCATATTCTCAACCAAGCTGCAAAATTTCAGAGGAAGAGAATAGGTGAGCCGGACGTTCCCTCAGTCTGATGTATAGTCGTCATGGATATAAGTGCACATTTCGAATAGTAGAGTAACCACTTGCACTTTGTGAAATATGCAGTTTCTTGACTAATAGGCATCACACTTCAAGTTTTATCCATTTCTGGAAAATGCTTGAGTAAAGTGCATTTACGTTTTAGATACGATATGCCATGGGAACAAACACTTCCACTCACTTATTGCCTATCCTCTTCATCCAAATCGACTACGACGTCACCGCTGGACTCGACATCGTCATCTGGTGCATCGTCATCAATTATCAATCCATACAGCTTTCGACCCGGGTGCACAATACCGCAAACACAACTCTACCATCATGTCTCCCCAAATTCTTCCACAGCAGCTGGACGTGATTCTGGGCTGGGATCTGTCTGAATAAAATTGGAAGATCTCGGGTAGGTAGGCAGAATGTTACGATTTACTAGATTTTAGTTAGGCATTTTTAGCACACCATCAACTATCGTCAGTATAGGACCTTTACGGTTGAGGAACAAATGAAGTGCGGGTCACATACGTGTTTGAGAAACTACCTTGTGCAATGATCACATGGAAAGGGAGCCCACCTCAACTGCATAACGATGTACGTTTTTTTGAAAACCTGTGGCTTTCGTGTAGGACTAATCAATATCACATTTGCAGGAGAAATCTGGAATGTTCAGTTCTATGGTTCCAGATATTAGCTGCAGTTTTCGGGTTTATGTCGAAGACCGAACAGTGGAAACGGGTGTATGAATACAGAGTGCCTTAAAAATTGTACCCCTGTTTGTTCATTCACAACTTTCCTGTATTAACGACTATGAATAGCAAGGATCTTGCTCCATTACTGGCTCTAGTTTAGTCACACTATAGAACCAATATCGAGAGTGATTTCCACAATCGTAGAATTGGAAGCAAAATCAAGAACCTTAACCCCATTACGATGCTGGCATTTTGAATGTTCAAAACCGCAAACATTCATGATTTTTGAGTATTCCTTTTTTAAAGAATTTTGTGAGCTTTCGGCTATATTAAACCCAATTCAGTAATACTCTACAATACCAAATTTGAAAATCCTTTGAAGAAGATGCCTAACATGACTTTTGCTTGAAAAATCTATCGCATCCAAAGCGACTAAAAGTCCCTCAGAAGTCCTTACCGTAGCCCTACAGTGATGGGGTGTAAACTTTCATCCTTTACTTTGCGATCAAGCCAGGCTCCGTGACAGAAATTAAGACAAGAGAGTTGGTACGATAGCAGTGGGTACAATCAATCTGTTTTATATTATATGTCTATGATAAATAATGTGTATAAATTTTGTGTAAAAATGATGTACATATGTAATTACGAAGTCTATGTTTTATCTGAAATATATGCTTTTACTGCAAGTCATTGTTATTCAGATCAGTTCTAGTGGTATATGAACATGCATTTTTTTGTGCACAAACATCATGCACATAGATCTAATATATTTGCCAACTCTAAATGAATAAACTTGGAAATGGAAGAATGTTTATATTTGAGACTTTAGTAGGTGCGCTTCTATGTCAGATGAAGTGAGTAATGATATATTTGGTTTGTAGTAACAGCTGCTTTATGTTAAAACAGTTTTTTCGAAACGTTTTTCAGATTATTACTGATCGCAAAAATTCTGCAATTTTTCAATTTGTGAAATGGAGGCCTTTGCTGACTGAGCATTTCCTGCAGACGATCGCTCCAGATACCGTCGCTAATGCAGTCCCATTCACAATGCACAGCACTCATGCTTGTTTTCCCACGTGCGATTAGTCCTTTACCGTAAGCAAATGAATTATTTGTGGCTTTGTAGAGTGATCATCCGCTAAACTCAGCATTCATGGGATAAGTGGTAACATTTGCGCGAATGCAGAATTTTGGACGACGCTTGGGAAGCGATATGTAACTGAAGTAATTACTCCGTGCAACTTGCCAGATAGCGAAACTTTGATGATTTTGAAGCTAAAATTAAAGTCGATGAATCACCTAATTAATCTTTCAAGCTACACTTCTCAGACCATTCACCGGAAATTCCGCAAAACTAAAGAATTTGCAGCGGTCCCGCAGAATTTGATTTACTACTGCAAAAGTGAAAACCTTGCAAATAGGAACTTCCGCAGGATTTTCAAGACAGGATGGTTGAAAACGAGAACTTCCGCAGGACTTTTTAGAAAGCGCTGGGGATTTTGAGAAAAATGCCAGCGTTTCTGCAGCAGACCTGCCAGTACTTCCGAAAGCGAATCTATGGAATTCAAAAGCATATTTGATTACAATTTTTATTCAAATGATGCATCATATAATACAAAGTCCCGAGGTAACGGAGACTCCAATAGCTGCAAATTAGGTACCTAGGATGGAGGGACTTCCTACAGCAAAAAATAAATAAAAAAGGTTTGCATTTTTTTGCATATTTACTAAAGCAGGCTTCTTAGTAGATGATTTTGAATAGTCTTTTGCTAACTTGGTGCAATGTAGATGGACTAGAGCATGGCATCATCTGAAGAGCAAAAAATTCTAGTCCAACTAATGTTGGTTCATCTTCCAACGGGACTTTAAGCAAGCATATCTATTTGAGTATCACTATAAAACAAATGTCTATATAAAAATTATCTGCCGATTTCATAGCACGAAGAATAAGCCACATTTAATATGGTATTGTGCTTGCTTTGTACTCACCTACAATGGCTTTGTTCTTCTTCGTAATTTGCGTGCCTTTGTGCACTTGGCGCCTTTTTTGTTTGTTTTGCTGCCCTATCATGTTTCGTCAGATGGTACAATGTTCCTTGGATGACCTACTGATATCTCGGACTTTTTTACAAATGTTCAATCCCCACTATTCTTATAATGAAATAGGAAGAGATTTCTGAAGAGCAGACCAAGAAGAGGAAAAGTAGACTTCTTGTAGTATAGTCATTTCTCCCAACGGAAGAGCGTTTAGAAAGGTGTGACCGTCTTTTGCGGAATCTAGGAACTGCTCATATTTGACTATAAAGTGACTAAACTCTACACATCTGACCCAATAGGAAAGCAGCCCCTTGGAAGGATTTTAAAAGCAACAAAATTGACCCCTGTGCACTCTTCATTGTTCGTCGGAATGAAAACCTATAGAGTCGTAGTCGTAATGGATCCTCAATCTTGCATTGATCATCAAACCAGAATGAAGTGCAAATAGAACTTTGTGGAAAATGCTGCATCTCGCTTTCTATAGTTCGGCGCTAAATTTGCTCTTTGTTATAACAATCAGCAGGGTTTCAGAAATTAAGACCGGACTAATTGTGCAGGTGGAGTTCTACGTATCTGATTAGAAACAACTGTCATATTACAAATATACTACCACGTATGAAGGGATACAGCAATCATTATGCGATAGAATCATTAAAAAAATTCACAAAATTCCAACTGCTATTTCGGCGGCATATAGGTTTGTTTGTCTATTCATTTAATGACGTCCCAATATTCCTAAAACTCTGCCTTTCTTAAAGGACTAAAAATGGTTCAAAGCGGAGTATGTGACCCACTTCGCCAAAAATCACCATCAAATGGGCTAGTTTACAGCATTCCTTCATTTTTGCTACTTACATATCTTGAAGCTGCAGGCATACAGGAATGACGCAGAAGACCAACGACAAACTGGAAGTTCTGGGGAGATAGAGCTTTATCGCAAAAATTTATTTACTTTTGATCTTCAATCCAAGCATAGATCGCTAAAAGAAAAGGCCGAGGCAAAAAAAGAGTACCAAGAAAATTAGGGTTTGTTTTATTGAATGAAAGTCACTGAATAAGAGTTGTGAGCATAGAGTCTTTGAAAAGGATATACCCAATTCCATTGAAAGTGCAAGAATAACTGATGACATTTTCGTAAGTTAGTGATCAGTAAAGTGAAGTTATGTATCAAGTTATGTATTAACATATGCATCATAAATCCTGATAAAAAGAAAATGAGAAAATTACACCTTTGATTCGTTATTTTATAGTTGGAAATCTCCCACTATGTGCCTGCATCCCTACAAAAGAAATTCCGCAGATTGACACTCGCACTTCATTTATGTATATAGTCCATCCTCATAAGTGGTTGTAAATTCTTTTTTAAACTCGAATGCTACCTTTTCACCAATGGGCGCCACATTTATAGTGGATGATTATTACAAAACCACATATAATGTATTTGCTCACGCTAAGGGACTAATCTGTGAGAAAACAAGCATGAATGCTGCATCCTGAATGGAGGAGCTGATGAATATTTTGATGGGATTTTCCATTGGAAGTGCTCTTGATTACTAAAAGTAAAATCTCGGGAAAACTGCGACTGCGAGCTTCCCGCACCTACATACATAGCCTTCTGAATCCGCTGAATCCGGGACTGTGCTTGAAAAGTCAAAAAATGCTTTTTTATCGTTTCCCGGCCTTAAAAACTGCTAGGGGAACTGGAGGAGAACTTCCCGCCAAAAACAGCGACTGCCTGCAGGAGACTGTAACTCTACTTTGGCGGCGATTGGCTAATTGGCTCAGGCAGCCAATGACAACTTATTTGGAGGGAACGCTCGTCTAGCCTCACCACCAATCCCCATGCCATAGAAAGCATTTTTTTACTTTTAAAATGCAGCCTTGACTCAACTCATTTGAAGCCCTCGGCTTTTGCCTCAAAAGATTCCCATTACCCCTTTGCCAGAAGGGCTTTGCAAAAACCAAAAGCAGATTTGTAATCAACATTAGATGCTCTAAAAGAGTTTAAATTTTCTATGGAGACTCCATTTTAACCAAGTATCCTTTCCTTTAGAAACACCAATCATTTGATAGCGAAAACAAATGCCTACAAATAAAGCATTGTAGCTTTATGATCCAATTATAAACGAGCGTGCTCAAACAGTTGTCAATATCGCTTCTCCCAAGGCAATTGAGATAATGAGCCGTAGCATTCGAAACCTTGCTTCACATTCTTGATTTGTGCCATTGAAATAGCCCTATTGAAACAACTTCAGTAACACAGTTGTCATTTTCAACTTGTTCTCGTCATATTCACAGAAGGATCTGTAGACAAATTCACTATTCGGAGAGTATGCATGTTGCTATCTGGAGATATAATTGTTTGATTTGCTCTCAACAGATTTAAGATCACCTGATAACATATTTATTTCAGCCATTGATCTTCATAACACCTATATATCTATGCTTAGTATGCACAGTTATACCCACATTTATACACCCGTTCTTCTGCGATTCTCTAAAACCCGTGAATAGTTGCTACCAGCTGAGACCATTGAGCTGCACATGCCATCTCATCTGCAAATGTAAAGGTTACCATTAATACCGGCCTTGAAAGAAGATTAATGTAAGGAAAGCTAGAAGAGGTTAAAAAAGAAACTCACATATTATGCCCTGGTAAAGGTTCCTGCCTTCAAAATCGTCGTCATTCTTTTTGACGATTGCACAGGGCAGCATCTCGAAGTAGGTAGGTGACCTGACCTCGCCTTATGTACTTTTGTACCGTAGAGATAGCTGAAAAAAAGCATTAATGGTTACTTTTCCTACTATTTTCGTGCCGAAAGCATGCTAATTTAGATTTCTAGTAAATAAGCTCTATCTTCTCCTCACCTACTTCAAATCCTACAGCTTGGAGTTACACTGATCCCAGTCCAGAGTCAAGTCCAGCTGTTGTGGAAGCATTTGGGGAGATATGATGGTAAAGATGTGTCTGCGCTATGGTGCACCCGGGACGGAAGCTGTATGGATCAACCGACGATGCACCAAATGACGACGTCGAGTCCAGCGGTGATGTCGTAGTCGATTTAGATGAAGAGGATAGGCAGTAAGTGAGCGGAAGTGTTTGTTCCCATGGCATATCGTATCTGGAACGCAAACGCACTTAACTTGAGCTTTTTCTATAAATGGGTAAAATTTAAAGTGATGCCCATTAGTCGTAAATGCTTCAAACTGCACAAATCACCAAATTGCAAGCGATATATTGCTTTACTATTCAAAATGTGCAACGATACCCACGACGACGGACTACATACCAGCTGAGAGTATTTTCTGCTTACCTATTCTCTTCTTCAGAAGTTTTGCGACTAGAAGGAGAGTATGGTTGATAGCGTGGCTTAACGGAGAGCTGGCGATGAGACCTATACAGATAAAGCTCTGATTAGTTTCTAAAATAGCGCTCCCCTCACAAACCTTTTTTGTCGAAGAAGAGCAACAAGTGCAAAAGCAAAACCCAATGACGTCAGAATAGAGATTCCTGCTAGTATCAACACGGAAGCATGCAAGATCTTGTCATCACTTTTCAACTGAGAGAAAAATGAAGTTGAATAGGCAGACGACGGATCTTCTGGCAACTGTTAAAAAAAACAATGAAGTAGCGACATTCCACATGACTGTTTGAGCAATTTGATAACAGTAACAGTAACAGATTGAAGATCCTGCACCAATAAGAGTTACAATGGTTGGATTATGGGGTCAATCATTGATGGATGAGAGAGCCATTGACACTCGTGCATGTGCAAAGGATTTGGATGCGAAGAGAGAAAGCTAACTCTCAACAGCTGTTACTTTGTTAATATTATGGGATGAAGGTGGTCGTAAACAACGAAGTAATATTTCTCGAAAATGATGTGTAGTCTTCGTGATGTATATTCGTCATGGTTATAAAAATTGCTCAAAGCGAAAGATGCCACTGACTAACCCTCTGTTCGATTAGAGCCACATCCGCTGGATCCGGGCACCACGGACATCTCTCCGTGTGCTTCTCCACTGCCACAGTGGCGTTAAAACACCTGGCCTGGATTTCAATCAACCTCTTGCCCAATTCCTCTTCTGGTAATGCTGTACTCGTAGTCGTGGCCTGACGTCGCCTTCTTTCCTTTAAAAGGAAGTCAGCTTATAAAATCACCAAGTCTCCTTCACAATAGGATCAGCTCAGTTTATTCCACATGAATAACGTACCAATAATTCGTCATTTCCATCCGGAAAGGCGCTTATTGAAGCGGTATGGTCGCAGACTCTCGGAAAACCATAAAGAGGATCGGTGCCAAGCACCTGGCACCTGAGCTTCAGATCTTCCGGCTTACCTTTTGCCCAATGGGATACGAATGAGCGCGAGGTATCCTTGAATGATAAGAATCTTGATTTGGACACCAACATTCTATATGGGCCAACAAGGAGTAAATTATTCAAATCTTGTCATAAGTAAAAGGCACAACACTCATGAGTCTCTCACATTTATGGTTTCTGCGGAATTTGTTTGGTCGAAATTGAGGTCTTTTAGCAACAGTTTGCTTCTACTCTTCAGGCTTCATCCAGAGTCGTTACTCAAAGATAACCGCGTGGCTGACCGTTTTGAAAAGAAATGTAACCGTTTTGCACTAAGTAGGTACTCGAGATATCTACCCCAATTACCATGAATTCTGAGTGCGGGGATGACACTGGCAGATGTTTCGTTTTTCAGATAAAAATTCTGAACTTGTGATCGACGGTATAGAAAAACGCGGTTATGAAAAAATCACCGGCGTGAACAGCGCAGAAGGAGAAGAACTAGAAAAGAATATATTGCGTTACCTGAACGAAATGCTCAGAAATAGGCCAACTGATAGCGATCTCTTCGGTAAGTGGGAGCATATCTCCAAGTATCTAAAGAGGATGGTTATTTTGGTTTGATTTTGCAATCAAACAAACTTCCTCAAAACTTGCCTCAAATCTGGGATGAGAACAACCGGCGGTGGTTAGACATCCCTCACTCCAGTCAACTCTCAACAATTCGGCAGTCATCCAAAATGAGTCCGCCATAATGACAGGTAGAATTAGCAGCAATGGCAACATCTATAAAATACCCGCTATTAGAATGTGTTGAATATCTGTGACTATATCATGCATGATAAAGAGGAGCTTCAATGGTGGAAGAGCAAGGGGCGGAGCCGTCGGCCTCCTTCCAGCCTCCCTAATTATAGATGCACGCAAAACGAGGGAAAAGCTCGAATCTACGGATAATCAGAGGCGAGATCAAAGGTGAACGGAAAGATTATTAATGGTTGCAAAGACGATGGAGATAAGAGGGTCTTATAGACAATTGAAAAAGGCTGATGTTGAGCCTATATCGGCGGCACACGTATGAGAATAAAATTATAAAATATTATTTTTTTAACCAAACTGCGCAAAAAAGGCGTGGATTCCTACACTTTGCTTGTTCAACAATGAGAAGTAGCAAAGCGGATTTGTTAACGTTTAAAAACAAAAAAGCACCTTTGAAATTGTAAAATAATCTACGTGCTTTGATCGAAACCATCTATTCTTCATCTAGCCAATCAAATTACAAGAAGAGCCACCGCTCTGGTCACTAAGCCCTACAACTGTCAGCAACAAACAAAGCGATAAGGTAACGCACGCGCCGGCTGATAATTCGCCGGGTGACCAAATGGACCATTATTTCTTTTAGAGTTACTGCTATGACACCTCGCTATGGGTCATTAATTGATACCTGACTACCGCATCCACTGCTTTTCTCATGGATGAGAAGAACGTCATTAAACAATGATACATCCTAGTCACTGAGAATGAATGACAGTAAAAGATTTGAAAAGCTTCTACTTTTCGGTGACGCAACTTTCCTAACCAAAACGCAATTCAACAATTCATCTCGATGTGGTGAAATTTAACGTACATTTTCCTGTTCTCAAACTGAATTGAGTACAATCTACAAGAACATTTCTCATTATAGCAAAGAAAACGCTGCATTTTTCCTTATGTGAAACAGCGTTGAAAACAAAAATATTTTCTTCGAATTTCCAGCCTTTTCCAACCAATTCAAACGCATTTGCAGCGCTAACGCGGCACGGAAAGAAACTAACAGTAATTCAAAAACAAGGTCTGTGAATGTTCATGGTCTTATACACATTCAACTTCGCATAAAAACAGCAAGAAACAGCGGTCTGTTTGTGAGGAAAAGGTTGCTTAAGAGAAAACTGAACTTTTTCAAGCAAAGCCTATTCTCAAAAAAGTTGACAATTCGGCTGTATAATTTAAGATCAAAGCAATTGCGATCTTATATATTGTCTTGTTCAAAAAAGAGATTGTGCGCAGATACTGATAAGAGACGACTCATCGACCTGTGAAAAAAGTTGCCACAGTTATTCGGAGCATTGTTCGCGATAAGAAATCATCGTAGCACTCTAGAATGAATACAATATGAAGCTTCTACAGTATATTTTTAGTTTGTGGCACAAAAGAGGAGGTCCTTGCACTTTCACATCTTTTATCAAGAAAAAACAAGGAAAGCTACACAGTCCGCAAACCTTATCGAGGATGTTTAATTACATGACATGAAGAGCCCCAAAGTGAAGCGAGCTAATGCAAATGACCTTAACGCCAAACTAATTTGTTCTTTAGTTGCGCAGCTGACGATGTTGACAAATGTCTAATACCACCTTCACGGCAAGTGTGTGAGCGATAGAGATCTTGCGCTAACCGACCTTAAGGTGATTTTCATCGTATTTGCAACTCACAAAGTTTGATCATTTGACGATAGTAAAGATGACCGTGAAACGCATCAGAAAAGTGTGAAACTACTCCAAAGAGTCAAATCTCAGCAAAATAAAAAAAGGGGGAAGATGATCCAGTTTGTGGATCGACTTTCAAAGAATTCAAACCTAGGCTTATTAAAGGTCAAAAGCCTCAAAAAAGCCTTCATGATTACTAATACCAATTTCATAACAGAGTTGCAAATGACACTTATAAGGATATGAATAAGTTGTTAAAGTTTGACTACTACAGTTTTTCGAAGAAGAGTTTTAGTTAAGGAGTCTAGCGATCAACTTCTAAGCGCATTAGCTTATCGGAATACTTGTCATGCATTTTAGATTTGCAAACATTGCACTGGACGATCGCTTGTTACAAAAAATTGACAAGATACGGTAAAAGTGTTTGAAGAGCAAAAATAGTCCACCCAGTATTGTTGAGCTTGAAATTAATTTTATAACTACCAAAAACGCTTAAATCGTTCTATTTTGCGCCAAGCCAACCGACATTGGGGGGGGGGGGTACACTTTGTGACCAAATTCAAAACTTTTACTTAGGGCTTTGTGAGAGGTTAACTACAGTTCAATGGCCAGTATTCTCATGCTCTGAAACTATTGGTACAACAAGAAAAAGATGAAAGCTCGTTCTTATAGAGCTCTTATCACCTTGTCTTGAAAGTACACTAACCGAAAAAAATGAGCAGACAAAACATGAGATTTGTAGAGTCTACCAGTTGTGGTAAGCCAGCGAAGAGATATCGTATACAGTCCTGAATGCTCGTGGAGAAAAGCGATGATATTGTAACGAGCGTGAAGTATGGCCACTTATCACCGAGTGAATGACAAATAAATGCTGCTGGCTAGCTAAGCACATCTTCAAGCACTGGCGCTTGCACTTTCAGTTTTGCTTTCATTGCCTGGCTCTGTGTTTGTGCACTTCCTAAAGTCCACTTCTGCCAAGGTGTACTGAAAAAATTCGCTCTGCAAAAACGGAACAAAAAGGAACGACTAAACAATTTTCAATGGAGTAAGAGCAAATAAACAATGCGGACAAAGCCACGACGAAAAAAGAGGTAAAAAAATACAATAGGTCACTCGCGCGTAAATTCCAAATATTCCAGGGAGTAGCCCACACGAATTGTAAAATTCTGCAGACCGGTTTCAGTGATTGCCTTGATCAATTTTGTAGAGATCAAGTTGGCAAAAAAAACTTCTCATATTTCAAAGATGTAACTTTACGCATAAGGACTTTCAAAAAAGGATTTCTGGGAGTATAACTAGGCTAAAAACCGTTTGTAAATTTCTGCTCCTTTCCGCTGAATGATTTCTTATGGGGAGAGGGGAGAGTTGAGAGGGGGGAGTGGGCAACAATTTGCAGTTAAGGCCTAGATACAAAAGCGAGTTTTTGAAATAGTCAGATGGTATGAGGCAAAGACCGGACGTGTTGTTGTCGTCAACAGAAAGGGGTTTTCGAGCAGAACAGAGGATTACCTATCTGGCTGCTTGAGAAAAAGAGATTAATTGCCTGATATACGTAAGCTGACGAGGCTGGTTAAGAGACATTCAAAGGATATCACGAAAATGAGGTTCAGTATGTAACTACAGACAGTCTGGATTGGAATTGGCTTGATGTGTATGTACTGTACGATAATCTTGATCAAATGCTGCTCCAGGTACAAAGAAATAATGAATCATTGATCTAACTTCTGCATAGTAAACTAGAGTATACCACTAAAATCAGGGAGACATCGCAGTCATGGAGTACAAAGATGTAAATTACAGTAGAATACGAAATTCTCCCACTAGAAAAATTAACAGTCCCCACCCGGCTTTTCCGAGTCCAGTTCTTCTAGTCTTGGAGCCTCTTCGATACTTTTCATCAAGCTGGGACCACACAGTTTTTAAAAATTATGTAATTTCAGATACCGCTTACTTCAGAGCTTTGGCAACTTCTTCATCGCTGCTGATGTAAACCTACGAAGCTTTATAAGGAGATCGCGGGAAAATTCTCTTGCTCAAGGAGAATTTACAAGAACCACCATTGAGTTCAGCGAAAATTTCCATGGCTTGAAATCCTCGTAAAATTCCCGTGAGGAGTAGCAAGGCTATCATCAGTCAGAATGTGGCGAAAACGGAACGGCTGACAAATCGCTTTAGGCTACTAGGCGATGATTGCTTCGAAGGCTCCTGGAAATGTCTAGCAGAGGAGAATGGACCTACTGAAGTTTGAAACAATGTCCTTCTTTAAGTACATTACACTCTAAGATGTTCTTTTACGGGTTCTACAGCTATTAATCATATAGAACAATGGCTGTGAGTTAAATGAGCGGAGCAAAGCAGCTTTGCAGAACTTAATGGGAGAAGAAAAAGCAAGAAAAGTGAGTGATCGTTTTGCTACTATAGAATTAAAAATATGAATAAGCCTTGAAGCATTGCGATTATGCTTGCACAGGGATGAGTTGGTTTCAAAAAGTGGACAAAGGGAAACTACAGACAGAAACAGAAATTTTTCAGTTGAAACTGAGTTCAGGAGAAGCAAATGCTAGTAGACACCTGCTCAGCTGTATTGTATTGGTCTGCCATGTCGTTGCCGATATTTTTTCCTGATAGATGACCCTTCCGGAACAGAAGTACAAGTATAATGAGATCAGCATCGATTATTGGATCTGTAGAAAAATAATGTATGTGAGGAAAGAAAGGAGAGACTATAGAGCTCAAAAAAACTTAGCGCTTGGAATTGCAAACTGTTTTCATAATTCTGTAATATATGCAGCTACATATATGAATGGTAATGATGGGCTCTCCTTAGATATTTTCACTGTCTCGGTTGTGAAGCTGTGGACATACAGTTGAAACTCTCACAGTAGCAGAATATGAACAAGAGGTGTTTGAACCGTGACGAGTAAACGAAAAATGGCGGTATTCAACCTCGATACTATGAATGGAGTGCGCGCATGGAAATTATGACTATTGGCCCCTTGATTATGGTACCGTTTAGTGAACGATTTAAGTGAGGAAATTTTGTATTTCAGAGAAAATTATGAAGACTGGACAAACTTTAGTTTATAGAGTCAATCTCAATTCAAAAACAGCGGGTATGCGCGCATGCGATCCCTCTCGCAAGCAGGAGCAAGTGTTCGAATAGCACTTGAGTAATGAGAGTCTATAGAGACAACGGAAGACATTCGGATCAAAATTTACATACTTGACCGCACCGTGACGAGGTTGAAAAAATAGGGTATGTCAAGGCTTGACAAGCAATTCTTTCAAATAGCGCAATTACGTGTTTAAAATTACTGAAGTAACTTG